GTGAAGGTGAGGTATTAATGATCATGGATGATGAAGGTGAAGGTGAGGTATTAATGATCACAGACGATGAAGGTGAGGCATTAATGACCATGAGCAATGATGATGATATATTAATGATCACAAGTGAGTGTGGCACACTCATGGATTAAAGAGGTGAGAAGTTAGTGGTGATGGCAAGGGAAGTCCACTGAGGAAGGTGAAGTGTTAGTGAGCAAGAGTGAGGTTGTGGGAAGCTGTGGTGGATTCGAGCAGAAGAGGAGGCTCAGAGGAAGGAGGCAGGGGGTGCTAAGAGGGTCTCTAGAGGCGCCAAGAATTACCTTCTTCTTCGTATTGTTCTGCATTGGAATAGAGACAAAAGAGTGACAGATTAGCAGAGCATGGCCGAAGGAGCCTGGTGCAGAGCTGCCTAGAGAAGGCTTCGTGTTCAGGGAAGGCTCATGTCATGGACGCCCTGTCCTTGGGCACCCCTCCTTCCTGGACAGACCTTTTGGTATAAACGTCTTGATCGCGTGGAACAAGACCTCAAGGGGTGGAGAAGAAAGGGTAACCCACTGTCAATGGAGGACCATTCAGAAATGTACCCACTGAGCTTGGAAAGTCTGGGGTCCCACACGCGGGTCCCAAGGAGAGACATGCTGTCAGTAACCCCATGCACATCCTTCCCAGGTGTGGTTCTCTGGTGCCTCTCTGTGAGTGAACTCCAAGGGAAGGACAATGGAGTTGACACTTACCTTCAACCTGTTCACTGTAAGAGAGAGAAGAGGGGTGAGGAGAGGGAGAGGGGGAGAGGAGGGAAGGGGAAAGGGGGGAGGGAGGAGAAGGAGGGGGAGAGGGGGAGGAGGAAGGACACAGAAAGGGGAGAGAGGGAGAGAGGGGAAGGGGAGAAGGAGGCAGCAGGGGAGGAGTGAGGGAAGAGGGAGGGGGAGGGGAAAGGAGAGGGAAAGGGGAGGGAGGGGGAGGGAGAAGTTGAGGGGGCAGGGGCAGGGAGGGAAAGAGAGAGAAACATACATGAGAGGGTGAGAGTGGCTTTTCCATAGCTGGCTTTAACAAATACCAGTAGCCCCTCCAGCCTGAAACTTCTCCTTGACCATAAGCTGAGAGTCAGACTATCCCAGTCTGAAGTGGGGCCAAAAACTCAAGGGGTACTCACACTTCCTCGTCAGACATGGTGAGGGTGGGTTGTTCTGGAGAGAGAGAGAGAAAGAGAGAGAGAGAGAGAGAGGAGTTGGAAGTTGGCTTGGAGGAGGGGGTGCTCTTGGAACTGGGGGAGGGGGTTGTAAGGCAATAGCACCAGCAAGGTCAGCACTTGGGTCCTGGGGTGGGTCCACTCTTGCCTGAGGCCCCCTCAGCAGGCCCCTTGCCTCCTCCAAGGCTCCAGCCCCTCCCACCTGCCCAGCTGGAGCTGGAAGGGACTAGATGGTCATCCACCCCCACCCGGGTGGACACCCTCCCCAGCACTCCCGGAGGAGGGTCATCCAGAATGCATGCGCGTGTCCAGGGCCAAGCCAGCCCGCCTGAGTTCTGCTGATGTGGCGCTTGGCTTTGCCTTTGGGTGGTCTCACCAGAGGCCTAGGGGGAGGAGGGCTTTCAAGGAAGCCCATGACCACTGGGCCCCCTGAACCTACTCTGGCCTGCCTGGCCCACAACCCTTAGTGGGAGCCTGAAGACCCCTTTTCCCTCCAACAGCTTCTCATGAAAACTGCATCTGTGTGTACCCCAAAGTCCTCTGTAGCCCCTCCAAACAATGGGAAGTGGACCTAACGGTGTGTGTGCTCAGCCTCTTGAAACCAACAATGACATCATGGGGACATGAGGACTAAGCCCTGATTCCTCCCTGTGTCCTCTACCTACCCAGTCCCTGCACAGAGGCTCTGAGGCTGCACCAGGGCCCCACACATGCTCCAGGCCCCTTTCCCAGGCCCCAGGATGACTTGGATCTGCTGTGTCTACAGGAAGGGTAGAGCCGGACAGAGCCAGGTGTGGCTCGCGTTCAGGGACTGGCTGTTCACGGCTGGTCCCACATGAGGGAGGCTGGGGCTGGGGGCCTCACAGCTGCCTCAGAATGTTGGCTGGGGGTTTGAAACCCCGAGTTCCCAACAACACATTCCAGCTTGAAGACAATCGCTGTGGACCCTCCAGGGAGCTTTGTGTAAGAAAAACACGAGTTCATCATGTAAAAACGCATCTACATCACATTTCTAAGGTGGGAACTGCTCTCCAAATCTGCGTTCAGGAATGTTCCTTTTCCCAGAGCAACTTAAGCTCCACGCAAAATTAACCAGCATCTCCATGCAGCAGCCTCGTGGGGCCCCTGCCTCCCAGCCCTCCCTTCTCGGGACTCTGCTGCCCCCTGGAGTTGCAGGCCAGCTTCTCTCCAGCCTTCAGCCTTTGTTCCTATCCTGGGCAGCATGGCTGGCTACTCCATGGCTAAAGCCCTTGCCAGCGGCCATGCCTGCCCCTCTGATTCTACTTGGGCCTTTGTCCTGACCCTCTCCCCACTCCCACTCCTCACCCTCCACCTTCCTCTCTTCGGAGTTGGAGGGGCAAGGACAAGTTGGAGAGCCCGCCTGCCTGGCTTTGCTGCCCTCACCCTGGCCAGACCCTGGCACCTGTTGGCCGCCCTGGGAGGGTGGCGGTCCTGGCCTGGGCTCGGGAGCAGTTTATTTTTAAGAAGCTGGTGGCAGCTGGAGTGACCAAGAATAGGCACCAAAATTAGCCAAGACTCCTTAGTCTGGACACCTAAGACGGTTACGTGTATATGAAGGGGGCATGCAAGCACTGTCCCATGGTCCTGCCAGCCCAGTCCTCCCTATGCCCCCCACTGCGGTCACCTGCTCTGCTGGGCTGGGTATCAAAGTGAGTGCCGTGTGTGGACTCCCAGCCTCCGGCAGGGTCATGCTGGGTGCCCCCTGGGGACCTGCCACTACCTCTGCTGAGCCTTCCTGCCACAGGTTAGCCTCTCAGGCCGCTTGCTTTAGGCATTTGGGATTCTGCTCACACACGGGAGTCCATGTGGGAGGAGGTTGGGAGGGGAGTGTGAGGCGGAGACAAGCTAGAGAGCAGCTAGGGGTCGGCTCATCCTCTGCCCCTGGGGAGGCAGGCTTGGAAATAGCCTCTGAGGTCAGCACTCCTTAGGGACATGTCTGCTCCTTGGGGACACATGCCCCCTTCTCTCCTTCCCAAGTGACAGGTGGGGGTGGACGAGGAGAAACACAAGGCCCTGCCACTCACTTGTCTGGAAACTCTGGCCACATTATCACCTCCCTTGCTATCCAGTGGCCACTTACCCACCCACCTTCAGTACTGGAAAAGACCAGCTCAGGCCTGAGCCCCTTGGGAGGACTGCCGTGGCCAGATGAGCATGGGAAGGGTGAGATGGAATGGAGGGGCATGGACTCCCAGCTGTGACCAGGGGCCCCACAGGCTGAGAAGGGCAGCCCCTCCCACATGTCTCTCTGTGCCCTGCCCAGCACCTGACCTGTGGGGACAAGGGCCATCCCTACTCATGAACCCTCTCCAGGGTCACTGTAGACAAGTCCCTCCCTGCTTTTTATCCCAGCTACAAACTGGCAGCTTTGAAGGTGACAGTCACATTTGTTGTGAGCCCAAAATCCTCAGGACAGGAAGAAATGGCCAAGGCGCGCTGGAGAGGCCAGCCTCCTTTGCAACCCTCTCAGGACCCCATCTTTGCCCTCACTCTCTCCTCCTTGAACCGCCCACATGCAGAGAGCATCTCCCCCGACACCCCTGTCCCTGACTCAGATGGCTTCTTGGGGTCCCCAAGACTCCAGGGCTTGGCTTATCTGGGACCTCTACATTCCCAGCCCAGAGGCACCTTAGGTGAGGTCCCTGACCACCCCTGCAGAGTCCAGGTGTCCTGGCCCAGCCTGGCCACACCTGGCACACCAACCTGGGCAGTGAAAAGTGCAGAAGGAGAAGGCTTCCCGAAGGCTAGCTGCAGCGCTGCCCGCTCGGCCTCTTGTCCTCGTGTTATAGTGACATTTGATCTTTGCCCGAAGCCCATTGGTCAGCTGTGGGGGACCAAGGCACGTGGGCAGGGAGGAAAGGCTGTGCCTACTTGAGCCCCTTACCAAGTATAGGAATGGCCAGTGAAGGAAGTGGACGAGGCAGGGAGGAGGGGGGGCATGCCTGGGAAGGAACGCTTTCCCCCCACCCTGGGCATCAGCTTCTATTTTTATCCGTTCCCCCAGAGCAGGCACATTCTTGAAGGAAGGAAGGAAGGAACAGGTGGCCCCCAGGGCACAGCTGAGAGCACTCCTTCAGCCATGTTTTTGTGGGCCCAGCATGAAGCCCTGCACTCTGGCCCCACCTCCTCCCCTCTAGGCCTCCTGGAACGAGTGACTTCACAGCCATGGGGTGGTCTGCTCTGAGAGGGGGTCCAGCTCTACATCCCCATCCAGGGGCAGCCTGGGTCCCAAAGATTTCAGACTGAAATTCTATGCCCGGGACTCACCCCGTCTTCCCATCAGAAGGGGCAAGCCTGACACTAGAGACCACAGAAGACTAAGGCTGAGCCTGATGGTCTCCTCGCCTCCCCAGTAGACGGGGCAACCTGGTCCTGGGGGCCAAGCACTGAGACGTTCAAGGCTATCCCCATGTCCCTGGCAGAGGGGCAGCCCAGGACTAGCAGCCCCCAGGACTGTGCTGAGGCTAGCCCCTGACGCATGGACTCCTGTGGGCTGTTGTGGTGCTGGGTGGACGTGGGGAGTGCTGGGGAGGCTTCCGGGCTCTGAGATGGGCCTGAGAGACTCCCAGGTGCCAGCTGCTTGCACCTAGGAGCACCCTTCACAGTCACTGTCTCACGGGCACTAGTGGGTGAGCTTCTCACAGCAGAGGTGCAGTTGGTGGGGTCCGAGGAGCTGCACACAGTATGGAGGGGCCCTGAGTGATGTGACCGTGGTGCCTGGCCCTGGAGGCTGGCCAGTCTCAGCTGTAGCCTGGAGCTGTGCTCCCAGGTGTGTCACTGGGGTCATCGGGAGAGCTCTGGGGGCTTGCTCCCTACATGCAAGACAGCTGTCCCAGGCCCCAGTCACCAGCTGCTGAACAACCCCTCTCCACCACCGCTCTGTGCCTGTCCGCCACTGGGACCAGGGGAATGGGTTGCTGGGGACCTCCGCCTGTCCTGGATAAAGCCTCCAAGTCCTTTCTTCTTATCCTGCATCTTCTATTGCCCACTCTGTAGAAGGGCCACCAGCTCAGTCCCCAACCACCGAGACTTCTGTGTATGGAGGGTCAGTGAGCCAGAGCCGGCCAGACCATGGCATGTCTGGTCTTTCGTGCGTTAGACAGTCTCCAGGACATCAGTCAAGAACCGATGCTTTTGACTCTCAGAACACCTCGAGGACACTGCGCTTGGAGAGGGTCAGTGGAAGACGTGCTCAGGGAGCTGGGCTGACCCAGGAACAGTGACACCGAGGGCCAGCACAGCAGAGGCTATGGGAGGCACGGCTCGCTCTGCTGTCCACGGTGACCCCTGGCAATGGCATCATGACCCTGGGGTCTCACACGACCTCACACCCTGCTCAGGCTGGAACCTGTCTGGGACACCTCTCCACCCAGCTCAGTCCACATGTGGGCGCGCGGGAGGTGCTGGCTCCACTGGCCCGGGTCCAGTGTTCACAGGCCGGGCAGGTGTGTGCGGCCCCTGCAGCGGCCCTGCTCGGCCAGCAGAGGAGGGTGGCTGCCCGCTTAGTGCCTCGGGCCCTGGCAGGTGCACTGATGACTGCTGGCCATGAGGAGCTAAGCCAGCAAGTGGATGCGAGGTCAGGAGGGACAGACTTTATTTTGGGTATCAGCGGCCTTCCCTGTGGGCCATCAGCATTGAGCGGGCATTCCCGGTCAGGCCAGCGCTGCTGTGAAGGCTGTGGACAGGTAAGCCACATCTCAGGCTTCAGAGAGGCCAGAGAGAGGAGGGAGGGCAGGGATGGCCGCTGGGGGGTGTCAGGGCAAGGGTGGACACATGGGCTCCTCTGTGCTGGGACTGGGCCAGGGACAAGGGGTTGAGTGACCGAGGTTGATATGGAAGGCTGACTTCAACCCAGGAGGAGTTTGAGAACCAACTGGCAAGGTGGGCAGGGCCTTCCAATGTCAGAAAATGCTAAAGCCTGGTTGGGGGGGGGGAAGAAGAGGGTACACCCCTGAGAATTGGGGTGTAAGCCATCAGTGAGAGTGTCCCCAGGGTGGCAGGAGCTAGGTGACTCGAT